CGTGTGTCTGTGTTTATGCGTGCACTGTTTGTGTGTGTGTGTGTGTCCGTGTGTGTGTCCGTCTTTGCATGTGTCTGTGTCTCCGACATGAACTGTGCAAGTGCAGGCATTTGTTGCAGTACCTCATGAGGAGGCCGGCCGGTTTTCTCACATGTTGTTGGGTCGCCGTCCTGTGCTGTGGCGCATGTTGCCGTCATTGCTTGAAGAGCACCGGTGGCATGAGTGCATGTTGTGTGATGCAGTGGACATTCCGAATCGTTTCACGTCGCCTGGTGCAGCCTATAACGTTCACTGAACATTAAAGGACATGCGGGCAACGGGTGCCGGCATAGTCACAGTCCTGAGCTCAGTTCGTTGAATGCACAGTTTTGCGAGTTCGGGAAATTGAAGGCAACCGCCCACAGCACGTGCACTGGGTTTCTGTGAAATGTGCGAGGGTTTGCAGCAACGTACCTGTGCCCCTCTTTAGTTTCAAGCAGCTTCTTTGATGAGGATGGGCAAGCGGGTCTGGATTCTGAGTCCCTGCCGCTGTGCCAGGTGTGTCGTCTTCGCCTTCGTCCACCGCGTGCAGTGCCGCAGCGAGGTGCCCACAGCAAGTTCACAGAGGTTGCTCCCAGAGTTCATGACCTCATGAGCGTGGCTGCCATTGGTCTTAGTCTGATTTGAGGTGGCAACTCAGCAACATCCGACATGAGGAAATCACTACTTCTGCCATTTTGCTCAGAATGCAAGAGACATGCACGGACAGGGTCCAATGCAACAAAAAGGAGACATGCTGCCGACAGGTGCTACATTATATTCTACTGTCATAGCAGGAACTACACTGTAAGTGCATGTGAAGTTGATAAGTACTTGGTTTTTATCCTCAATCCCTTCCTTCGCAGAGGTCAGGTCTATAACACAAACCCGGACTTCCAGAACCTGGACACAAATATAAGCTTCCAATTGCCAAGATCCTCCATCCCTTCCTTCACTTTTATATAGCAGAGGTCAGGTCCTTATTAGAACACAACCCGGACTTCCCGAAGCTGGGCACAAATATAAGCTTCCAATTGCCAATTCGGCCGCCATAGCCGGTCCAGTGCCGCTCCGTATAGCCGGTCCATTGCCACTCCGCTCTCCCTGAGACATGTTCGAAAACAGAGGGCATGACGGGCAAGACTCTGGCGGGGTCATCGTCCCCTTCGGAGCGGAATTCAACTACCCGAGCATGAGCAACTTGGAGGCCGTTGGAGCAAGCAAAGAGGGATTGTTCATCATGCACTTTCAACGTCTGCTCTGTCAGCTGAGGTAAGAGACAAGGACCAGGCAAGGGCAGAGACGTCATGGCTGGGTACCTTGGCTAAGGCAAGAGCGAACATTTGGGAATTTGGCATTAGCTTTTCCAGCTAAGGTATTGCCACGAGTTCTACAAAGGCTACATTCACACGACTTGGGACGTCCGCGGAAAGTGGCCGAAAAACGTGGCAGACAGCAAAGGGAGACACATGTCCCCCGACAGTCACTTGGCTCCTTTGAAATACTTTGAGTTTTCTTTCGTCTTCGCCTTCGGTACCCCCTGACCTTGTATGCTGAGATGCCGTCGCCTTCGCCTTGGAGGAAGAAGACCAGGGCCCGGAGGGAAAGCCGAACCCCCTCATCAACCAGAAGTTTTTGTTGAGAATGATGAAGGAAGGTTTTGACGCCTTTGTTGCTGGATTGGTCTTCGTCTTCGGTCTCCGAAGTGGCCATTCCCCGGACGACTGGCACTGCGTCGCCTTGGCCTGTTCCTTTGCTTACATTTGAAAACGGTCCGTTTTTTGTCGCTTGCTTCTGGCACCGTCAGATTGGACCCAGCAGACTGAGGCTCAGCAGGATGCCATCGCTCGCTGAGCATCGCCATCGTCTTGGCCTTCGTCTTCGGCATGTCGCTTTGGGCGCCTTCGCTGAAGAAGGGTTTCGACGACCCGGCGAAGATCCCGGTGCTGGAGGCTGCTCTGGGACGCAAAAACGGCAGCCTCTTGCTGGAGAGGATCAAGGAGCTCTGCGAACATGCAGAGCTCAAGCCATTTGTCAGAAGTAACATTAGAGGATTGTTTGGTAATTTTTGGTTGCCAGTGGCCCACTGGGTCTGTACTTATTTTTGCTTGTTGACATAAGGATCCTCTCCAGTTGCAACAGCATCGGGATATCGCCTTCGTCGTCTTCGCCTTCGACTTCGAAGTCGCCGCCTTCTTCGTCTTCGAAGGAGCTGCCGAAGCAGAAGACCCCACTGCCCAAGGCGCGGCCGATCAAGAGGAAGCCTCCCGCTCCGGCTTCGTCTTCGAAGGAGCCGCCCAAGCAGCCCGATGGACCAAAGAAGAAGCGCCGGCAGGATGATGATGACCAGCAGCACCACGCCTCCTCCCGCCAGCTCGCCTTCGCCGTCGACGCCTCCGAGCCCGAGGCTGTGGAGAATCCCGTCATGAAGCGGGCAACCTGACCTGATAGATGTTTTTGGGTTGTGTTCGTTGGTCCTTCCAGTTTAGGTGTAGCTTCTTCCCATTGAAGTCAAGTCAGGTCAGAACCAGAGTCTTGGACCTGGCTCCCAGCCTCGTCAGGGTGTTGGAGGATCTCGGCGTCGACGAGGAGGCGTGGTGCTGCATGGAGGCCTTGGCGTCGCACCCCAACCCCCAGGGGTTGGGGTTCGCCTTGGACTTCGTCGCCACTGGCATGAGCGGCCTGACAATGAAGTCCATCAGGCATTCTCGTGTCTTTTTCGGTATTGGTGGCTACTAATCAAACTTCTAATTAACTTCTCCCAGATCCGAGGTGCTCTCCACGATCCTCATGCCGGATGGGACAATCCCAGCGCCGTGGCAGTCGACCACTGCAGAAGGCGATCGCGGATTCTCTCAGGCTCTTTGGATTTGTCGAGTCGGCAGAAGCTTTTTCAGATGTTTCTTAAAGTTAAGATTCACAAATTTCTAGCCTAATTCCCAACCTGCCTGAGGCCATGAAGACCTCCCGGGCAACTCCAACAAGGGTTCTGTGCCTTGCCACTACATGAGAACCGTTAGGGTACGGGTTACCCTGCTACTTTCTTGGAGCGTCGCACAGTGACGTCAAGTTTTTAAACCCCCTGCAGGGCGCTGGTCCTTGGTACCAAAAAGGAAAGGGCAAAGGTGGCCAGCAAGGCAAACGCCGTGGCAAGAAGTGAGTGCCAGGATTAGGAAGCTTGTCCCAAAGTCTTCCGCAATCAGGCTTTTTGCTCTGCGGTCGCGGCATGGCATCAGAGTACCTATTAACAACAAAGTCTTGATCTAACAGTCTTCGCCTTCGCCTTGGACCGAAAGAGCCGTCTGCCTGCACATCAACTCTGCTGCGTGCACCCAAAAGAAGTCGGAAGCTCTTCCAAAATCTTCCGCTAGTTCAGGCTTTTTGCTCTGCGGTCGCGGCATGGCATCAGAGTACCTATTAATAATAAGAAACTCTTGATCTAGCAGGCTTCGCCTTCGCCTTCGACCGAAAGAGCCGTCTGCCTGCACATGAACATCTGCTGCGTGCTGCAGAAAGGAGTCGGAAGCTCTTCCAAAGTCTTCCGGTAGTTCAGGCTTTTTGCTCTGCGGTCGCGGCATGGCATCAGAGTACCTAGTTAGTAATAACATACTGTTGATCTCACAGTCTTCGCCTTCGCCTTCGACCGAAGAGAGCCGTCTACCTGCACATCAATTCTGCTGCGTGCAGGCAAAAGAAGTCGGCCTGGATTCACACTTGTGCTGCCATGACGACCCCTGAAGCACTGCGGCCTCATGCTGTTAAGTTGTCGCGTGGCCAGGTGCTGAGCTGCAGATTCCAGTTTGGATGCACGGAGCCTCAGGGACCGAAAGGACCATTGCAGAATCATTCATGTCTCGAAGTTTTTTTTTAAAAATTAATCTTGTCTAATCCCAGCAAGGCCAAAAATCTTGCAAAATAGAGAAAGAAAGCCCGTTTGCTTAGAGCCCCAAAGCGTAAAAGCTCTTTCATTGTAATCTGCAAACCCCCTGCCTAAACCCAGCCTTACAGCAGGAGCTCAGGGTTCAAGACATTCCCAATACACTAAATCAAGGGCTGCCTACTAGTCAAACTGGCACAATGGATATGGCGTTGGCTTCTGTGGCTGGACGGAGCTAGAGTGGCACAGATGCACTTTTCCACAGGGCAGGATTAAGAACTGAAGCCATGAGAAATATATCAAGGTTTCGGACTCGGGCTTTTTTCATTTAAGGAGGTTTTCGGCTTAAGATTTCATTCAGGATGCAACTCTTCAGCTGTTCTTGCACTGGCATGTGACCAGCAGTGTTCAAGATCCAGAGATGTACCTTCCACTTGACTATGGAGTCTGAAAGACTGTTGAGTATGGAGTCTGAAAGACTGTCCGTTAAGCCTAGGGCCTAAACTGATTCAAAGTGGACACAATATAGCTACCCTGCCTTGCCAGGCGACTTCATGCAATTCTATGGCATCGGTGCCAGGTGCTTGCAGAAGCGAGGGGGGGCATTGAGCAATTCTCGGCCATTCCTTGTTTCCGGTAAGCAAGCATGTCCGTTAAACTCTGTCATGCCGTCAGTATGTTAGCTTGTGGCACTTCAGTTGTCTGACTCTGCGAAAGGGCCGGCTGCCAAGTAGTGTTTACAGACACTCGCGTCTCCTGCATGACATGCTCCTTTGCAGAAGTTGAGTCCCGCCAGTGTGGTTCTTGAACAAGTCACAGCTCACAGACTAAGCGGTTCATGCTCTGTCTGTCACCTCCACCTCCCCATGCCCTCAGCAGCCCGATGATTGCTGGTTTTGCCGAGGCTCGTCGTGGCTGCACCGCTCTAGCAGGACCTTGCATTGCCGCTCCTGAGTTGGATTCCTTAGGAGCCATAGTGTCATTCATTCCCATTGCCTGTGACACGAGTGTTTGCATCTAAGACAGGAACCATTGCATGAAAGAAACAGGCATGCAGTGACAGTGATGCTGGGTTTCCGAAAGTACTCACAGTTGACTTGGCCGTATGCTGACTGACCACCGTGTGTTGCTGTCGCTGTGTCATGTGGCGAAAAGGAAGAAGAGG